GTGTGATGGGGTTGGATAGGTAGTGGTGGTCTTGAAGGATGTTGTAGTCATAGGACCTGTGGTAGTGCCAGGACTATTCCCTGAATGTGGGGAATGTGTGGTGAAGGGTGTGTGTGGCTCACTGATAGTGGCCGAGGTGGTGTGGGCCACAGGGGTGCTGGTTCCTGCACTGGTGGATTTGGGAGTAATGTTGGTGGTTGAAGTTGGGGTAATTTCAGGATGGTGTGTGGAAGAAGCATGTGAGTAGAAGGATATGGAGGTTTTGGCTGTGCTGAATGAGCTCGGGGCTTTGCTGGTCCCACTGGTGGTCACCGTCATCGATGGGGCTGTGTGCATGGACCCTGTGGTCGTGAGCGCTGTTGGTGGAGGAATGGTGCCTGTTGGCGTTGAGTGGATGGAGGTAGAAGTATACAGATGTACGTGGGTAGGGGTGATGACTGTGTGAGTAGTTGGAGTCACCAAGGAGGTGGAGAAAGGTGGAATGTGAGTGGGAAATGTGGTCTGAGGGTGTGGTGGGGTTGGATAGGTAGTGGTGGTCTGGAAGGATGTGGCAGTCATAGGACCTGTGGAAGAGACGGGACTACTCCCTGTAGGTGGGGAGTATGTGGTGAAGGGTGGTGGTGGCCTGCTGCTGGTGACCAAGGTGGTGTGGACCACAGGGGTGCCCATGCCTGTACTGGTGGGGTTGGGAGTAATGGTGGTGGTAGAAGTTAGGGTGATTTCAGGATGGTGTGTGGAGGAAGCATGTGAGTGTAGGGATGTAGAGGTTTTGGCTGTGCTGATTGAGTTCTGGGCTTGACTGGTTCCACTGATGGTCCCCGTCATTGTTGGGGCTGTGCGCGTGGACCCTGTGGCCGTGAGGGTTGTTGGTGAAGTAATGGTGCCTGTTGGCTTTGAGTGGATGGAGGAGGAAGTGGACATCTGTTCGTGGGTAGGAGTGATAACTGTGTGAGTACTTGGAGTCACCAAGGAGGTGGAGAAAGCTGGAACATGAGTGGGAAGTGTGGTCTGAGGGTGTGATGGGGTTGGATAGGTAGTGGTGGTCTTGACGGATGTTGCAGTCATAGGACCTGTGGAAGAGACAGAAGTGCTCCCTGTAGGTGGGGAGTGTGTTGTGATGGGTATGGGTGTCCTGCTGCTGGTGGCCGAGGTGGCGTGGGTCACAGTGGTGCTGGTGCCTGTACTGGTGGACTTGGGAGTAATGGTGGTGGTAGAAGTTGGGGTGACTTCAGGATGGTGTGTGGAGGAAGCGTATGAGTGTAGGGATGTAGAGGTTTTGGCTGTACTGAATGAGCTGCTGTCTTGGCTGGTCCTACTGGTTGTTGCCGTCATTGGTGGGGCTGTGTGGGTGGACCTTGTGGACTTGACTGTTGTTTGTGGAGGAATGGTGCCTGTTGGCGTTGAGTGGATAGAGGCAGAAGTGGACATCTGTGCGTGGGTAGGGATGACGACTGTGTGAGTAGTTGGAGTCACTGAGGAGGTGGAGAAAGGTGGAACGTGAGTGGGAAGTGTGGTCTGAGGGTGTGATGGTGTTGGATAGGTAGTGGTGGTCTGGAAGGATGTTGCAGTCATAGGACCTGTGGAAGTAACGAGACTCCCCACTGGTGGGGAATGTGTGATGTGTGGGGTTTGGGGCGTTGTGTATTCAGTAGTCATTCCTGTTTGAGTTGTCTCTGTGGCTGTGGGCCTCGTGGGTTGTTCTGGCTGTGGGGTGGTTGGGCCCGTGGTGCTTGCTGGGGTTGGACGTGGGCCTGTCGTCTGGGTGGCCGTTGTTCCTGGCAGTTCCTGATCTGTTGATTTTGCTGTGGGAATTGGTGAAGTTGTCATCGTTACTGTGTTTGTTTCTCTACCCAGACCTCTGCTGGCCTTTTGTCCGTGTGACCTTTTTCTTGCCTGTCTCTGTCTCTGGTCCTGTGACATGGCCCCTGCTGGGCACTGTAGCCTGCCTCAGTGTCTCCATCTCACCTGGACCTGCTCCGCATCCTGCCCCGAGCTGAGTGCTGACTCCTTCAGCGCAGCTGCCACTCTGTGACTGGAGCCCAGGCCCTACTTTATCCTCCTCTGGTTCCTTGGTAGTGGCCCCTGCCCTCCTGCACCTCTGCTCCCCAGGCCTGCCTCTGTGGGTGCAGGGCGGCCCTCCCTGGCATCTAGCTCCATCGTGCGCTGTTGAGCTGCCTTCCCGCTTGCCCTTTTGGAAATACGGGGTCTCCTTTGTGGCTGAGTCACCAAATGTGAGCTGGAGGTGGGCCCGGGTGCCTTCGCGATGGTTGGCATCCTGTGGCGCCGTGACTTACGCAGCGTGGGGCTTGTCCCTGGTGTGGCTGGTGTTGGTGGTGTCACCGTGGTCCGTGTTGTGGACTGAGCTGTGGACGTTGTGGCTGGGCTGGCAGTCGATGCCGTGGCCCTGGTTGTGGCCTGGGTCACTGTGGGTTTTGTGGCTGTCGATCTCAGTGTGGCTGTGGGAGGCAGCCCTGATGTGGCTTGTGGGGTGACGGCCGTGGTTGGTCTAGGTGATTCTGCAGAGGACAGCCGCCCGGAACATCCCCTTCCTGTGGGCCTGCATCTCAAAGGCTTATGTCCCAGCCCCCTGCCCTGCTCCTGGGATCCCTGGCCTGCTGTCCGGGACTCAGCCTCCTTGGAGGGGCTCTTCCTCTTGCCTTTGTTAGGTCCTCCCGCCGTACTCCTGGCTGTGGCGGCCAGAGCTGGAGCAGTGACCACACGCTCATGGGGCTGCAGCTGCTCCTGCACCCACCCTTACTCGGCTGAGCGGACGGTTGTCCTGTCCCCTCCAGGGTCCCTGGGCAGCAGATGGGGCCCTGCTCGGTGTAGGGCAGGGGCAGGCTGCCTGGCAGAGGCCCTGTAGGTCCCACACGGTTTCTAGTGACAGCAGCCAGCAGCAAGGAATGCCCTGTGCCGTGACCAGCTTGTCTTTAAAAGTTTTTCTGAAAAATCCCCAGTTTGGCTCCCAAGCATAGGAAATTCTATGCTGAGAATCTGCTTAGTGGCAGATCTGAGCCAGGAAGCGGGGCCATCCCTGAACCCACCCCAGAGGTGTACCTAGGACCCCCTGCAGCTGCCCTCTCCATGGGCTCATCTGGAGGCTCCTTACCTCCCGAGGAGGCCGTGGGCTTGGAGGATGTGAGAGTGGCTGGAAGGAGGGGTGTCTGGGTGGGGCTGGCAGGGGTGTGTTTGGAGCTGGGTGAGGGTCCGGTGGAGCTGAGAAGCCCGATGGTGGTGGAGGTTCCCGTTGTGGGCCAGACTTGTGTGGGCCGTGAGCCTGGGTGGACGGACATGCCATCAGGGCTGCAGGGCACTGGCACATCCTTGGGGAGCACCCTCCCCGCTGCCTGCTTGGCCCTGAAGCCGGGCAGCCCTGCAGGGGCTGATGTGCCGGGCACTCAGTTGAGGGCTGGCCCGTGGCTCTCTGAGTGCAGCCTGGCTCCTGGCCGGGCCTTCTGCATGGCGGCGGTCACCTGTTGAGGCCCCACTGTGTGCTCATCCGTGGGTCCAGCCAGGGCCACGGGGACCAGGCTGCTGCCTAGCTGTGGGCTGAGCTCCTCCCCCAGCTCTGATTGCCAGGTTAGACCTGGGAAGGGCACAGGCACTGCCTGCCTCCTCCCTGCTTCCCACCCAACAGATTTGTCCAGGGAGCCAGGGGGAGCCCAGGAAAGGGCCGCGTCACCTTGGCACCTAGTGTGCGTGCAATCACCTGTGGTGGATGGCTGCGGTGTGGTGGCTGGCACTGCAAGAAGACGGCGTCAGCTCCCTGTGGCGCTCGAAGCCTCCCCACCCCGTGGGGCCTCCGGGAGCTCCGAGGGCCTGAGTCAGAGATGCTCACCAAGGATAAGGTGGAGGGGATCAGAGGGGCTGGGAGCCTACCCTTCCCTCTCTCCCTTTCTCCTTCCCAGGATGATTCCCACTCTCTACCCCAGGCACCCTGGCAGGCCTGATGAGGGTAGGGGGAGCTGGGGGCTGGTGGAAGAGGGATGGGAGGGCCCAACAGGGTTCAGTGCTGTTTTTTTCTCTCTGCTGCCATGGGCTGGAGGCTGCCTGAGTCTCTGGAGACCCAAGGGGCCAGGGTCCCGGACAGTCGAGTCCCAGAGCTCACGTAAGGGTTCACAGCCCCCGAGGGCTCTCTCCCTTGTTTGTGGGATGCAGACATGCTTTCTGCCTCCATGTAGGCAGGGGCAGGGGTTCTCAGGGCAGCTGACTGGACTTACTGCAGGGCACGCACACCCCCTCCTCGTGGTCGAAGTACTCATCCTGGGAGCAGTTGTAGCAGCCTAGGGTGGAGAACGGCCAGGCTGTGTGACCAGTGGCCAGCCAGGCCCACCTGCATGTTTCCTGTCCTGGCGGCCTCCTTCCTCTCTGCCCTTTTTTTTTTTTTTTTTTTTTGAGACAGAGTCTCGCTCTGTCGCCCAGGCTGGAGTGCAGTGGCGTGATCTTAGCTCACTGCAACCTCTGCCTCCTGGATTCAAGTGATTCTCCTACCTCAGCCTCCCAAGTAGCTGCGATTGCAGGCGTGTGCCATGATGCACGGCTAATTTTTGTATTTTTAGTAGTGATGGGGCTTCGCCATGTTGGCCAGGCTGGTCTCGAATTCCTGACCTCAGGTGATTTGCCTGCCTCGGCTCTCAGTGTGCAGGGATTACAGTTTCACCCGCGCACCTTGCTCTAAGCCACTCCTTTCCCGCCATGCCTTCCTCGGGCCTTGGTCTCTCATCCCCTGCTTATCACCCGAGGCTGGGGCTTCAGTGCCATCTTCCAGTCCTCACCTCCCCCTGGACCTCAGACAATGGCCCCCCTCTTCTGTGCTCCCCAATGCAGGTACCCTGCATTGCCCTCCTGAGCCCCAGTGAATCTGTCCTGTGTGTCCGGATGGCTCCAGACATCACCCTCCTCCACCGCTTGGGCCAGCATCTGTTAATCCCAGGACCATCTGCGTTCAGACATCTGCCCTGGGTCAGCTACAGGGCTCACAAAGACCCCTGCATCCTGGCCACACCCCATCCCACACTTCTGTGTACCCCACACCCCTCTGTAGCCCCGCGCCCCTCACTCGCTCGCTCTGCCCACTGCCCTGGCTTTCTCAAGGGTTCTGGGCACAAGGCTGCTCCTGGCTGCTCCTCTGGACACTTTCCTGGCTCCCCGCCTCACCTTTCCCATCCTCACCCTCACATCTGCTTCCCACCAAGGACCCCAACCACCCTGTGTGGCATGGAAGCCATGGGGTAGCTCTCCCACCCCGGCCTGCCTTTCTCCCCTCCATGGTGGGCGCCTTGGACGACACTGGTTCTGCCTCCTTAGGCACCTCTCCCTGGCTGGGAGGGAAGCCTCAGGGTGCAGGACTGTTTGTTTTGTGTAAGGCCAGGTCCCCTGACCTGGAACTGGCCTGGAGGACAGAGGTGCTCAGGACGCATCTGCTGAGTGAGTGAATGATTGTGCGTGAAAGAATGAATGTGCAAGTGAATGACTGCATCAATGTGTATGAGCGAATGTGCTTGAATGAATAAGCAAGCATGAATGAATGAATGTGCATGGATGAATGTGTGAATGAATGTGCGTGAATGTTCAATGAATGTGTGAATGTGCATGAGTGAATGTGCATGAGTGAATGAACGAATGTGCATGAATGAATGTGCATGAATCTGCGTGAATGTACATGAGTGAATGTGTGAATGAGCATGAATGAATGTGTTGAGTGAATGCGTGAATGAGCATGAATATGTTGAATGAGTGTGCGTGAGTGAGCGTGAATGGATGAATGTGGAGTGAATGTGCGTGAATGAATGTGCATGAATGAATGTACATGAGTGAATGTACGTGAATGTGTGTGAGTGAACAAATGTGCGTGCATGAATGAATATGCGTGAATGAATGTGCATAAATCTGCGTGAATGAATGAGCATGAATGAAGGTGCGTGAATGAATGCGTGAATGCGTGAGTGGATGAACAAATGTGTGTGAATGAATATGCGTGAATGTGCATTAATCTGCATGAAAGAACGTGAATGTGTGAGTGAATGTGTGAATGAATGTGTGAATTAATGAATGCGTGTGAATTAGCATGAATGAATGTGTGAATGAGCGAATGTGTGTGAATGAGTGAATGTGTGTGAATGAATGTGCATGAATGAGTGAATGGGTCCCCCTGTGTATCTGCGTCACCTCCCCGCCACCTGGCACCTTCGATGTTGCTGCCTGGGATGCTCTGTGGTTGGCCGGGGCAGAGGCAGGGCTGGTAGTGCCACGTGCAGTTGGCCTCCTGGGTGTACTGGTACTCGCCGTGGCCGTCCTGCGTGTGTGTGTTGTAGAAGCCGCAGTAGATGGCTGGGAGGAAGGGACATGTCAGCTGGCGGGGTTCCTGGCCCTGGCCCTGGCCCTGACCCAGTGGTTCCCCTGGGCATGTGTGGAACCTGAGCATGGGCGGGGAAGGCCTGGGCCCTTTTGGCGAAACCTCCCCTGGGCAGCTGGGGGCTGCGGGAGGACCAGGGTGACCCTGCAGGGCACAGCCTGGTGCCTGTCCAGGGAGAGGGGCCTGTGGGCGAGGGCAGCCCTGCGCTGGCCCTCAGTGGTGCTGGGTGTCAGGGGCTGGAGCAACCTGTGGGTGGGGTGGTCACTCACGGCAGAAGTCCGGGGTCCTCCAGTCCACACACACACCCTTGTCTAGACAGGCTTGGGCGTAGGCGGCCACAGCGTCACACAGACACTCACAGTCCCCGCCACTGTCACACCCACATGCGTCGCGCACGCAGGCCTCGTAGTAGGGCAGGTGGTATACCTGCAGGGGCGTGTGCCAGTCAGTGTCTGGCCGTCGGGGGATGGCGGGGCACCAGGCTTTGCCACCTGCAGTGCCCTCAGTGTGGTGAGGCCAGAGTGTGGCGGCAAGGGCACTGGCACTGGGTGAGCGGCAGCACATGGACCTCAGCCCTGACCGCCAGCCACCCTCCCAAAGCTGATGCTGCCACGGAGGCCTGACCCGAGCTCACGCCGTGAGATCCGCCATTGGGACCAAGGTACGCTGCCACCAACCATGACCACTGCAGCCCTGCCCGGGGTCTCCACTCCCCCCACGCCACGCTCACATTCAGCGGGCCAGTGCCATGCTGTTCCACCATGGGTTGTCCCCATCCTCTCAGTTCTTTTTTTTTTTTTTTTTTTTTTTTGAGACAGAGTCTCGCTGTGTCGCCCAGGCTGGAGTGCAGTGGCGCGATCTCGGCTCACTGCAAGCTCCGCCTCCCGGGTTCACGCCATTCTCCCGCCTCAGCCTCCGAGTAGCTGGGACTACAGGCGCCCGCCACCACGCCCGGCTAGTTTTTTGTATTTTTAGTAGAGACGGGGTTTCACCATGTTAGCCAGGATGGTCTCGATCTCCTGACCTCGTGATCCACCCGCCTCGGCCTCCCAAAGTGCTGGGATTACAGGCTTGAGCCACCGCGCCCGGCCTCCATCCTCTCAGTTCTTACTGCACCCCGATGACTGGATCACACCCTGGGCCGGGAAGCGCGTGCCCTGCATCCTGGAGGTCTCCCTGACCACCGGCTCCTGAGCAGGGGGCCCCACCAGGCCATGCTGCCCCAGGAGACTCATGGCACTGTCTGGGGGTGCTATTGGCATCTGGTGGCCAGAGGCCGGGGGCTGCTAAACAGCCACAGTGCACGAGTCGGCCCCATGTCAGGGCCCTGCGCTCAGGCAGAGGGTCTGAACCTCTCTGCACCCTGATCTGGCTGGTCTGGGATCCCATGGAGGGAGAACTGTGCCTGGCTTTCCCACCTTGGGCCAGACAGGGCCCGGCCCCCACCCCCTCCCCCACCCCCACTGGACGTTTGTGGAGGAGCAGGCGCACAGCCCTCTGCCCGGTGCCCACCTTGCTGTGGCAGGCAGCAAAGGTCTGGCTGTTGATGATGCTGCACTTGCGCTCGGCCCAGGAGCGCCGGAAGGCATTGAGGCTGCAGGGGTCCGCCACGAAGCGCACGTCCCCGCACAGCGGGCTCTCCTTCCACGAGTTCACGAACTCCAGCTCGCTGGACGCCACGTACCTGCTGCGCGTCTCAAAGTCGTCCTTCATATTCCCGTTGAAGTTGCCACACAAGCCGCAGAGGGGATCCTGCAGGCAGCGGCATCAGGCCGGGCCCAGGGACTGTGCCATCCGTCTCCACCCCTGCATCGGGGAGGGTCTGGGAGGACGCAGAGGGCGTGCGGTACCTGGGAGGCACGGGTGATCCTGATGAGGATGGTCATGTGCCTGTTCCAGATGAGTGTCAGGTTGTACCTTCCGGGGACACTGATGTCCACGACAAGGCTCAGCGTGCCCGGCCTCACACTGAGCTGCACGTGGGACTCCTCCCCGGTGACCGTGTAGTTTCTGTCTGCCAGCACCACGGACAGGCCCTGTGGAGTAAGGTTGGCATGGGACTGCCTGTCTCCCCCGGCCCCTGCCACAGCCGTGCTGGACCGAGCTCTCAGAGGCAGAGCTGCCAGGTCTGTTAAGGCCATGCACAGGAGCATCTGCTGAGAACCAGCTTGGGGCAGAAGGGCCTGGCATGCCTGGAACAGGGCTGAGGGCTGAAGCTCGGGCTTCCTGGAGAGTCCCTCCCCTCTGCCTGGGAGACATTGTGCAGCCCCTGAAACCTTGTGGGGGACAAGCACCCCTGGTCCTGAGTGGCCAGGGAGGGGCAGCAGGCACCCCTCAAGGAGAGGCAGGCGGGGAGAGCTGCACCTCAGGGCAGGACCTGGAGGCTCCAGTGGGCAGGGTCCAGCTGTGTGGCAGGGGCCCCTTCCCGCCCTGCCACAGTCTGCCTCGCTGCTCACCCCCAGGAAGATCTTGATGGCGCGTGAACACGTGACCCCGGAGTTCCCACAGATGACGTTCTCTGTCAGGATCTTGAAGGTGGGCTGTGAATCATTGGCACCACACCCGTCCTGCAGGGAGAGGGCACTGAGGAGGAGCCCTGGGGGACGTGCCTCTGGGTCCCCGGGCCCCGCGGCCCCGCGCCCGGTGGATACCGTGGCCAGGATGTACTCGCAGTTGCCGTCGAATACGAAGCGTTGGCCGTCGAAGGTGACGATATGGCCCTCCCCATAGAGGGTGCAGGTGGACGGGCAGTGGGTGCCCTGCTGGCAGGCCCACCTCCCCCTGGAGCAGGTGCTGTGGAGACAGTAGGTGTGGGTGGCAGGCCCGTGGCCCTCCTGCCATACTGGGTGTGGTCCCTGGAGAGGCCAGGCTGCACCTCTGGATGCCCCCCACCTCCGGGACAACCCCACCCTGGGCAGCCCCTGCCTGCCCCAGACAGCCCCAGGAGCCCATGGCGTCTGGAGCGACGCTTTGTCTCACCAGGTCCTGCAGTCGGTGTGGAGCTCAGCTCCCCCAGGGTAGGAGACCCCTGAGAACTCACACGGGCACTCCTCAGGGGGCACACACTGCCCGTCGGCATTCTCGTAGAGGCCCTCGGCACAGACACAGCCAGGCTCACACTTGGTGGGCACCTGGAGGGAGGCAGGTCAGCGGCCCCTGGAAGGGTGGCCTCAGCCAGCTGCTGCCCAGCCCTGGGCCCCTCTGAGACCACCTGGCATGTCTCCCAGGCCCTCTCCCTGAATACAGCCCTACTCTGTGGCCTTTGTGGGCAGCTGGGCTTATTGCCTTAGCAAAGCTTCCCCCACTTTGTGAAAGGTGCTGGGACTCTGTACTCATCCCTACACGTGGACAACCCACCCTCCCCAAGCTGGTGCTGGCCACTGTCCTCAGGGAGCCCTGCAGACGAGCCCCTGGGGCCTCCAGCTGCCCGGCCACAGGGCTGCTCCCACCTCCTGGCCAGCCCCAGGCACCCGCCGCAGGGCAGAACATGGCCGGGTCTCCCGGGGTTCTGTGGAAACTCCCTCATGGCCCAGGTGGGGCCTGGGCGTTCCCGCTCCTTGCGCGCCCCCTTACGCAGGCAACACCAGTGGCCAGCATCTGGCATGTGGGGGCACAGGCCGCCCCAAACTTGTTCTCGGAGGACTGGCTGCAGGACTTGAAGGTCTTGGGGGCCTGGCAGGTGGCTATAGGAAAGAGGGGCACCCAGTCAGGACACTGAGAGGAAGCCAGGGCCCCTCACAGTCCCAGCCTGTGGCCGGCACTGCTGTACGTACCCAGGAACATCTGTGGTCGCTGCGGGCAACTCAGCCGCCCGTTGATGCAGTAGCTGCAAGAGAGAGGCTGCGTGAGCCCCCGAGGCCCGGCAGGGACCCCCCGCCTGGCCCCTGCCTGGCCTCTCACCAGGTGACGCCGTTGATGATGGTGGACTGCTCGGCCAGGATGAATTTGTAACCCTCCAGTGTGCACGGGCACTGGGCCTTGCGCACACACTCGCCCTTGTGGTTCAGGTAGGTGCCATTGGGGCAGTTGCAACCGTCCACGGGCACCGCGCTGGCATGGCACTCGGTGGCACGGTCTGACAGCGACAGGCAGGTGCGCTCACAGGCTTGGCTGTTGTAGCTGAAGGTGGTGTTGCCCGTGCAGGGGACGGCTGTGGAGGACCCGGGTATCAGACCCTCCGGGCATCAGACCCTCTGGGAGGGGCCGGCCGGGGAGGGCGAGCTTGGGTTCCACTGCCTGCCGGGCACTGCAGAGCCTCAGAGCTTGGGGCCCCAGGACACCCCCTCATGAGCCCAGCCTGCTGTGATCCCGCTGAAGCCCCGCTGGGCACTCACTGCAGTTGTCCACGCTGCTTCTCCAGCCCCAGAGCAGGACGCCCCGTGAGGCACAGGCGTGTACATAGTCGCCCAGGGCAGCGCAGATGTGGGGGAAGGTCTCCTCGTAGTTGCAGGCCTGGTACACGCACCTCTGCGGGCAGAGAGCCAGCATGGGCTGGTGGCAGGCACCCTGCCCTGGGGATGTGGGGGCCCCAAACCTATGCCTTTGGGTGCCTGAGACCATGTCAGCCACCACGGCCTTCCCTGCAGCCCTCCCAAGACGCCCTCGGGCCCTCACCTTGTAGAAGGGCGCGGGGTTCACTGTGGCATGGCACCTCTCGAACACCGTGCCTGTCCTCAGCAGCATGGAACAGTGGGTCTCCGCACACACCTCTGGGGACGACAGGCCCGGGTGTGAGTCCCGGTCCCTCCCCATTCCAGCCACGGCTCCTCCCAGGGATCCCCCACCCTGGCAGCTGGGCCTGTGGTCGAGTCCAGGGGTCTGTCAGAACTGTGGGTGCTAGGGGGCAGCCAGGGGGAGTTGGGGGCCGGACACTCACTGTTGAGCTGGCTCATAGAGCAGGGGTCAGTCTCACGCTCCAGAGCGGCTGGACAGTTCCCCGCCCGCCAGGAGTCCACAAACAGCGAGGCGGTGCCCTCGGCGATACCCACGCTGGTGGTGAAGTCATCCGTAGTGTCCCCGTTGAAGTTGCCACAGAGCCCTGAGCCGGCAGGCGTCAGCTTGAGCCCATCCCTCCTGCACCTGTTCCTGCCCACACGCCCTGGAGCTCCCGTCCTTCCTCTAATAGCACCCCGGGTGAGAAGCCGCGTGGGCCACACGTGCCTGTTACCCCCGGGGGCTCCCCAGATACACAGGGTTGTGTGAACCTCTCTTGGACCTTTCTCCTCCCCTGGTCATGGCCAGGCCCTGTAGGAATGAGGCAACAGGGCCACCCGGAGGAGCAGGGACTCACCTCTGGTCTGACCTCTGAACTGGGGCCCAACAGTGATGTAGGCCTGGAAGACGGGGCGCAGCTGGACCACGAGTTCCAACCCGAAGCTGGTGGCCATCTGGAGGTGGGTGGACGTCTGCCTGAAGACCGTGATGTTGCCTGCAGGACACAGTGCTCAATGGGCCGTCTCAGCCCCCTCCCTGCCCACTGCAGCCCACCCCGAAGGCACCGTTCTGGGGGGCCAGGGACTGGGCCAGGACGTACGAGTCTTGTATGGCAGCCACTTGGCTTCTCCGTTGTTGGTGACCACCTCATCCTGAGAGATCACAATTTTGTCCTGGAGAGAGGGTGGCCTGAGTCAGGGCGCAGGCGCCAGGGAGCGGAGCCCTGCTGGCAGGGACGGGCGCGGGAAAGGCCTTACCTGCCTGGAGAGATAGACCACGGCCACCAGGGAGGTCTCGGACTGTGAGAAGCCGGACTTGTCGTACACAGCCATGAGGGCACCATCCTCAGGAAGCTGGGGGCTCTGCGAGGGGTTGGTGCTCAGGCATGGGTGGGGTCACCGGGAGTGCCCCTCCCCACGGGCCACGGGGCTCGTCCTACCTGGAGGAGGATGTAGGTGCAGGCGCCATGGAAGCGGTAGGGCCTGGCGTCGAACGTGGTGACGAAGGAGCCACCTTCCAGGGAGCAGTGGCCGGGGCATGGCCGCTCCCTGCACGCCCAGCGGCCCTGGGTGCACTGGCTGTGGGTGGGTATGGGGGCAACCGCATGGTGGGCAGGGCCGCTGGAGCTGGACAGCAGCACACCCCTACCCGCCCTAGGCCAACGGAACTCCTGCCAGCCCGCCAGAGCCCCCTCCAGCGCCTCACTCACCAGGTTTGGCAGGCGGCTATTGTGACCTCCCCGGGGGCATACATGGCGCCGTTGAGCAGACAGGGGCACTGGGTGACGGGCACGCAGGTGTGGTTACTGGAGAGGTCATTCAGGACCGTACCTGCAATAGCGTACGTCTTGGGGCTTGGGTGGGACTGACTGCCTCCCACTCTCCTGTTGGGCGGCCCCTCCCTGGCTCCAGGGAGACGCCCCCCACCCCCCACAACCTGGCTCCGAGAAGACGCCCCTCCAGCCTGGGCTGCGACTTCTCACTCCAGCTGCACTTGCATTTGCAAAGTCTATGTCAGGCCCTGTGCGTGCACAGCCCTTCGTGCCAGTGTGCCCGGCCCAGGCTCCTGGTGAGTGGCGGCCTCCAGCAGGCAGGGACGTGTAACTGTCCCATGGGCCCAGCTCAAACCCCACCTTCTCTCGGCAGCTCCCCGACTCCAGTGAGCAGCCCTCACTGCCTGTGAGTTTGCAGGGGTGGCCATGGCTGGGAGACCTGCAGGCTGCAAGCGTCCGGGCGGGAAAAGCCTGTCCCAGGGCAAGAGGCGCCGGAGCTGGGACTCAGACGGCAGAATGTTGGGGTGAGCCGGGTCGGGGTGGGTGGAGTCTGACGCCCCCTTGTCCCTGGGCTCTCTCCAGGGGTCCCGGGGAGAGTGAGTGCCTGCCACTGCCCTCACCTTCTGGGCAGAAGCACCCGAAGGTGCAGGAGCTGGAGCAGCTGTGCTGCGGGTTGGAGCAGGTCTTCACGCAGGCCGAGCCGCACTCCTGGTACACCTGGTTGGCTGGGCACTGACCCACGGCTGTGGGCACACACGGCTCTGGTGAGAGGGTCCCCCCCACCCCTCCCTGTCCCACCCCAGCTTGGTGGAGGACTTAGCCCAGCCCCTCCTCCATCTAGAAGCAGCAGCCGGGATCTCAGACGAGGACGGATGCAGGCGTCACATCAGGCAGTCCAGGAGCTGGGAGAGCTGGGTCTGGAGCCCTCGGCCTCCCTGCCCCCCGCACCCTTCCCTGGACTCACAGCACAGGCCGGGGCCCCGCCAGCGGCGGACGGGCTGGCCCACCATGCTGCACCGGCGGGAGTACTCGGACAGGGTGGCACAGCTGCTGTTCTGTGGGCCTGGCTGGGTGGCTGCGGCCACGTCTGCCTGGCAGCTTAGCACGAAGGGCTCCTTGGACACGCTGCACTCGGGGGCCACCAGGGTCAGCAGCTGTGTGCAGATCTGGGCCTGGGGGGGGCCGCTCAGGGTCATGGGGGCAAAGGCCACACCCCGTGCCACCATGACTGGGGAGGTCAGGGCAGGGCGTCTGTGATGGGGCTGCTTGTGGGGGACCCTGGTGGTCTCGGCGACCCTGTGAGACCTGGGGTCAGCCCCACCTGGAGCCCCCTTGCTTACATGCTGGACCTGCCGGACGTGGGTGTTGGGGATGTCCTCAGAGGTGCAGATCTCACCGGGGTCGTCCAGCTTCTGGAGGGCAGCGAACTTGTGGAGTGCCAGGAACATGCCTGGGGGTGTAGGACAGGGATCAGCACCGTGGGGGCTGGGCCTCAGAGGCACCCCTGCCCTGCCCCCCACCTAGAGGCCCCCCAGCCCTGTCCCCGACCTTGAGACCCTCAGCCCTACCCCCACCTACCCTTGTTGCTCAGAACAGAGGCCCCCACCAGCCCTGGCCCCACCTACCCTCCTCACTGACAAACTCATTGGTCACCTTCCCGTCAAAGTTCCCGCAGAGCCCACACATCTGGCCCATGTACTTCCGCTCCACCAGAACCTGCGGGAGACGGCTCTGCTGGGGGCCAGGGAGCTAGGGGACCGGGGTGCCCCTCATCTGCTGTGGAGGGGGCTCTCAGTTCCTGCTCCTGGACCCAGAGCCCCCACCATCCCCCCACCCTGTTCGTCTGCTGCTTCTTGTGGGAGCCTAATTTTCCAGTGGAGAAGCTGAGTCACCCACAAAACCCAGTCCTAGCTCATGTTACTGGCCAGGGGTCAGCACTGCTTGGCACAAAGGGCCTGGCTGCATGGCAGCCTGAGGGCTGGCTGGGATCCCCAAGGAGGGCAGCTCCTCCAGAGTCCCACCTGCCCCCCCAGTGCTGTGGGTCTCCAGGCCCACCCTGGCCCCCCTCTCCTCACCATGAGGTGGCTGTCAGGGCCCCACACGGCCTCCAGCTCTAGCTCCAGCTGCTTGGCCACCAGCCGCACACTCTGGCCAAAGGGTGTGATCTGGAGCCCATTGCTGGTGTAGGGCAGGCTGATGACCCTGTGGGGCGAGGGCAGTCGGTGGTGGCCCCTCAGTCCTCCGGCCCCCGGGCCCCAGCCCACCTGGCCTACCCGATGTCCTTGACTGAGATGGTGGCTTCGCTCACGGTGACGATGGAGGCCCCCAGCTCCACGATGATCCGTGAGATGCTCCCGTCTGGACCTCGCCGCAGCTGGACACTGAAGGTGGGGAAGGCGTCCTTGCACGTGGCCGCGAAGATGTAGTTGCACGTCCCCGAGAAGTCGTACACATGGTGGTCGAAGGTGGAGAAGTGACCAGCCCCCCACGTGGAGCACTGGCCTTTGTCCGGGGCTACAGAGATAGCAGTGCTGACACAAAACCCTGTGTCCCCACCATCCTGGCCGGGCAGGGCTAGGGCAGGCAGAGAGGTCACTTATCTCCCTGGGCCAGGGTTTTAGAGTTGGGGCCAGGCTGTGGAAACCCCAGACATGGGCATCTGAGTGAACCTGAGTGCTATGGTATATGCCTGGCCAGGAGTCAGCACTGCTGTGGGCATATGTACACACGTGTGTGTGTGTACACGTATGTGTGTGTTGGGGGTGTGTGCATACGTGTCAGGTGTGTCCATGCGTGCATTGGGAGTGTGTGTGTTGGAGAGCTGTGTAGGCGTGTACAATATATACCTGCATGTGTATTGGGTGTGATTGTGTGTTGTGTGCATGTGTGTGTTGTTTGTGTGAGCTGGGCATGTGTGTTGAGTGCATGTGTGTGCATGCTGGGTGTATGCGTGTGTGTGAGTGTGCATGTGTGTGTTGGGCACGTGTCTCAGGTGTGTGTAGGGTGTGTACAATGGTACATGTGTGTGTAGGGTTGTGTGTTGGGTGCATGCACATGTATAAGTCATGCATGTTGTATGTGTGCGCGTTTGAATGTCTGGGATGTGTGTGCGTGGGTGTTGGGTGTGTATGTGTTTGGCTGTGTTGGGTGTGTGCATGTGTATGTCAGGAGTGTGTGTAGGTCGTGTGTGTTGGTTGTGTGTTGGGTGTGTGTGTGACGTGTGCTCATGCATGTGTCATGTACATGTGTATGTCAAGTGTGTGCATGTGTGTTGGGTTGTGTGTAGTGTGTGTTGGGTTGTGTGTATAGTGGGTGTGTGTGTATGTGTATGTCGGGTGTGTGTAGGTCGTGTGTGTTGGGTTGTGTGTGTAGAGTGTGTTGGGGGTGTGTGTGCATGTGTGTTGGGTTTGTGTGTGGAGTGTGTGTTGGGTGTGTGTGTAGGTCGTGTTGGGTGTGTGTGCATGTGTGTTGGGTTGTGTCTGTGTAATGTGTTGGGTGTGTGTGCATGTGTGTCGGGTTGTGTGTAGTGTGTGTTGGGTGTGTGTAGTGTGTGTTGGGTGTGTATGTGACGTGTGCTCATGCATCTGTGTCATGTATGTGTGTGTCAGGTGTATGTGCATGTGTATGTTGGTATGTGTGCGTATGTTGGCATATGCATGTGTGTTCGTGTTTGTTGGTGCATGTATGTGTGTGTATGTGTGTTGGATGTGTGTGTCTTGGGGGGCCCTCTCTCCTGCACACCGGACCTGGGTGGTCTGGGCGGCAGGATCAGTGGCCGCTGCGCTCTTACCTGTCTGTGGAGAGTCCTTCAGCCTCCAGAGGCCTGGGCTGGTGTAGGAAGTGTCGGCCAGACCTGTGTGGACAGGACCCGCGGTTGGTGTGGGGCTGCCCTGTCGTCCCTGAGGGCGCCGCTCACCTCTGCCCAGGGCTGCTCTGCCTGTGCCCCTGCACACACTCGGAGTGCGAGAAGCATCCATGGCTCGTGGGGCTCAAGGCCTCAACAGCAGGCCAAGCGCTCGGCCTCTCGTGTTGTCCTTCATGAGCCCCGGCTTCCTTCCCTGCTTTCATTCACTTCCTCGTTCGTCCACTCAGTCCCAGTTCTGCCGTCAGCCCCTTGGGGTTCAGCAGATGACGGGCACCCTGTGTGCAGGGTACTCATCCCTGGGGCTCCTGGGCAGGGCGAGGAGGGGCTGGTGTGGGTGGCAGGGGCTTGAGAGTGGAGCCAACAGAACGGGCTGTGCCCACCTCCCCAGCTTGGCCGCCTGGTTTCCCTGAGGGGTCTGTGCCAAGGCCCCACGGCCGGTTCTCCCTGCCCTCAGTGGCTCTAAACATGGCCACTTGCCTGCACGTCAGCCTTGAGACAGCCTTGATGTCAGGCCTGGCACCGAGGCTACTGTTGTCAGAGAAATGTCCAGATAGCCCAGTCATGGTGACTCCAGGGCAGGGCAGCGGGGGATGCTCCACTCTGACTCGTGGAGGCTGGGGTGGGGCCGACACCCCCCAGGTCCCATCCCCTTTACCCGGAGGGAGACTTCTACCACCTCTGGGTAACTCCCCGGACCCTGCCTCCGGGACTGTGGCCCTTCTTGTGGCTCCCATGGGCCGCCGATGTCTGAGTACTGGTGGGGCTCCTGAGCAGGACCCGTGACCTCTCCAGACCCCTCGGGGCCGGGACCCTCCTTGTCCCTGCCCATTGGTTAGCAGGGCACTCACGGCACGTCCCTCCAGACGTAGCTCTGAGATCCTGTTCCTGCCACTCCCCACCTGCGCTCCCACCCCCGGCTCTGCCCACTTTCTGGGACTGACTTGGTGCTGCCCCCGTTACCACTGGACACCTGTGTCTCCGGTGACGCAGGGGCAGGGTCCTGTCAGCTGGGGCATGGTGTTACCCACGGTCCAGGGAGGAGCCAGGCTGCCTGCCCCTTGGCCGCCTGGGTGAGTCCTCTCTGGCACAGGCAGAAGTTGTTGGATATTTGAGTGACTGGATTTAAGGAGAATGCTAGTCTTGGCTGTGGGGGACACACATTTGGGTGTGGTCCCCTTTGGCCTTGAGATCGTTTTCTGATGGGTTGCACCTGGCTTATCCCCAGTGTAAGCTGAGTTTACTCCAGACTTGGGTGGGGGTGGCTCATGCTGGGCCCTGAGCCTGGCGAGCACCCACCCCTCACCCATCCCCTTCCTGGGGGTCCCAGCAGGTGTCGTGGTCCTCAGCCCCCTGCTATTCCTTCCAGGGATGATCTATGGGGCTCAGAAGCACCTGTTGTAGGAGTGTGCAACACACGGAACCCTCAGCCACGGAACTCAGTGGTTCCTGGGACGGGGCCCTCACTGGCCTCTGGTGGGGGAGGGGTGGGAGAGCTCTGAGCGGGAGGAGGAGTCGGCTGCCCGCCCCTAGGCCAGCACCTCTGGAGGCTGCAGAGCTGTGACAGGTCTCCCCTGGGCAATGCCCCCTGCAACTCAGTTTCTCCACCTTTCAGATGGGGGATGGCACTTGGTGGCCGTCCCCGCTGCAGCACAGACACCTCAGGCCCGTGTTTCGGTGCCCTCGGCCCTGCCAGGCTGGCTCCACTGCCCCGGGTGGGAGCCTCATTGCTGCGTCCCCTGTGCCCCCCACCGCCCTTGCCCTGCCCCACCCGCAGGAGGTTCCCTGGGTCCACTGGCTCCAAGTCGGCTGCCTCCAGCTCTGTCTGAAGCCCAGTGGGAGGCTCCTGCGTTCCTGCCCAGACTGGCTGTGCTTCCCCTTGGCTCATCCCTCGGCCAGGCCCATGGGCCTCTGGGCGGGTTGGTCTGCCACCCCCGGCCTCTCAGCCCCTGGACGAGCACGAGGCGGCAGGTGCGTGCTGTTCCTTCTGCACGCTTGGCGGCCACCCACCCCTGCCTCCCGGCCCACTGTGGCCCAGGCCTGCAGCACAGCTGCCCGACTCCACACTCTGCCGGCTGAGGCCCCTCCCGTGCTGGCAGAGGCGGTGCTCAGAGAGCATTTGCTGGGGTAACCGGTGGACACCCCCACTTGGCCCTCCACCCTCTGCACTGCCCACAGCCCAGACTTCCAGGCTCCCTGGGCCTCATCACACCTCCCTCCCTGGCTCCAGGGTGGTGGCCCGAGGGACTAGGGGTCGCGCTCTGCTGCAAGTTCAGCCCCACTTTCTGGCACTTGTCCCCAAGCTGTGCCAGGTGTGCAGGTGGGGGCCGGGGTCCCAAGCAGAGGGTACTGCTGGGAGGGCTCAGAGACCCCCACATCTCCCATTGTTGAAGGGTGGTGCCCGGTGTGGTGGGGAAGGGGCTTCAAGGGAGAGAAGGGGCGGGGCGGGTTTGGGGCACCCCTGGGGGGGTCCCACTGTGCTCTGAGCCCGAGGCCCCAGGTTGGCAGCAGCTCCGAGGGTGAGCTCTGTCCGGCCAGCGTCCACCCCAGGGGACTCCCGGCTGTGGAGGAGGGTCAGGGGCCAGCTTGGAGAGGAAGGAGGAGCACGGAACACAGAGGCCCTTGGGCTGGTGCCTTGGTTGGCAAGAGGGGTCTCCCCAGGCCTCAGGCTGTGGCCACAGAGGGACCCCTTGGGGCTGGCTCCTTCTGGGGGCCTGGGGCAGGACTGGTGGCCACCTGCAGCAGCCGCAGGGCAGGTGGTTGGCAGAGGATCCAGGATGTCAGTCCCTCCTGGATCTTGCCTGAGCTGGGTAGGGGAGCGTGGGGGAGAGGGCAGGCTGCCTGCGGCGGTTCTGAGCCCAGAATGGCTGCGCACCTTCCCCTCCCTTCCCCCCCCTTCCCCCCACGGCGGCCACACCAGGGGAGGCAGCATCCCCCACTTCTGTAGACTAGGAAACTGAGGCCCACGGCAGCAGGGACTGGGCCTCTGTCCCCCACACTCCAGAGAGCTCTCGGGACTCAGGACCCCACTGGGGGAGGGAGAGCGCCAGGCCTGGGCACCAGCACACCTGCCCACTGTTCCTGCGGGACCTCCGGACCCCACTCCAGCCGAGCGTCCTCCCCTGCTGGCCGCTGTGTCAGCCCACAGGAGGGCGTCCCTGCCCAGGCCCCATGGGGTCCCTGACCCCAACTGGCAGAGCCCAGCGCTGAGGCTGCGAGGGGGACCCGGGCCCGGCAGCGGGGGCTGGTCACGGAGCCGAGGTGGGGCCTTCTGTCCATCAGCGTCCACGTGGGCCAGCCCAGTTGGCAAGGTGAGAAGGCCCAGGGCCCCTCTGAGGGCACCGCGGTGTCCAGCACCCCTTGGCCTCACTCACCAGTGCTGAGCAGGGCTCCGCAGCAGGACAGCAGCAGCCACGGCCGGAGCATGGTGCACCGTGGAGAGGAGCTCGCGCTGGGCCCGGCAGGCCTGCTGCTGCCACCCGTGCGGCTCCAATGGCCAGTCCTGGGAGCCTTATATAGGGTGGTGGGTCCTCCCCCGCCGCACCCGCCTGCGCCCCACGGTCCAGCCCCTTAATCACCACTGCTGGCGGGCGCAGTGGTGGCCAAACAGGATCTGGGCCTGCTTTATCAGGACTCCGCTTTCTTTGGAAAATCCTGCAGGCAGCGGTCCCATTATCACCCACTCCCAGCGGGGGCTGACGCACGCACACCCCCAAAGGCCCTGCAAACACCCCCCACGTCGGGCCATCCCGGCCGGGTCCTTCCCGCTGCTGGGTCAACGTGGGCCCTGTCAGCCACATGCCTGGTGGCCGGGACGGGCCTGCTGGGGGAGGTAGGGGCCCTGGGGCACCTGCTCTGCCCCTTCTGGGGGGACCAGTGCTGACCCAGCTGGGGGGAGCCCTGCTACACCTGAATCCCAGGGCCCCCGAAGGGCACTGGGCCCACCCCCACCCTGAATCCCAGGACCCCTGAAGGGCACTGGGTCCGCCCCTCACCCTGAGTTCCCTGCCCAGCAGGAAAGATCACCCAGCAGGAGGGACCATGCCAGGGGGCGTTGAGGACTGGGTGAACCCTGCCAGGGGGCATTGGGGAGCAGGGGATTTGCCGTCTGGGACAGACAACAGCCTTGGGGCTCAAACAGGCTGCCCTGAAGGCCTGAGGACCTACCGTGTCTCTGTAGCCCGCCGGGTCCCAGGCTCGCTCCTGAAGACCCCTCCACAGCTATTTTCTTCTCCCCCGAGCACTGTCGGCGGCCGTCTTGGGCACAGAAGCTCAGGGGCCGCTTGTCTGCTGGGGCATCTGTGCAGGGCTGTGGGGTCGCTGGTGTGCTCCTGACCCATTCAGGCAGAGGGGCAGGAACTGGGATGACCAGGGGGGCTCACCTGTGGAGGCACGTGCCACGCCTGAGGGGCCAGGGCAAGGTCTGGGGACATCGGGGTGGTGCTGGTGGCTGGCAGTGTGGGAGGGAGGTGGAGGTCTGAGCGGTCGCCGGGATTGCCCCAGCCTCGTTTGGGAGCCCAGGGACCCCTCCCGCAGGGGATTTTGGCCCCCTACCCCAACAGGAGCCCTTGCTGGCCTTGGGGCCATTCCCACCACGTGCCAGCATCCCGGCCTGAGCCAGGAGGGCCCCGAGGCCACCTGGTCTCCCTGGGCTGGGCTTCCCACATGGGGCTGCACCCCTGTCCCACAGGTGAGCTGAGCCCGCTGGCTGGGACCGGGGCCTGCCACCTCTGTCCCACCTGTGCCCACTCGCCGGGGAGCCGCCCCGCCTGCCCCAGAAGAGGCTCCAGGGCCACACGTGCCCCACGCGGTAGGTGTCAGGTGTTTCACTTAAATCAGCTTGTTTTGCAGAACGTTGCTTGAAATTACAATAAGTTGTTTTTGTAGGAAATTGCTGTACGTGTGCTACCCACCCCGAGAGCCCCACACCAGGCATTCTGGGTGTTCCTGCTCTCATCTGTTCTTTTTATTTTTTATTTTTGTAGAGACGAGGTCTCACTTTGTCCAGGCAGGTCTTGAACTTCTGGGCTCAAGAGATCTCCTGCCTCAGCCTCCCAGAGTGCTGGGATGACAGGCGTGAGCCACTGCATCTGGCCTTGGCTGTCCCTTCTTAACACGCTCAGTGGCCCCTGTGGTTCAGGTGAGAAACTGAGGCAGAGGAGTGAGGCCCTTGTCCTGTCATGCTGAGGCTGGATGGACACAGGGCTCACAGCTGGCCCTTGTTCTGAGCTGGGGCCTCTCAACCCGGGCTTGAGGTGGAGACGAAGAGGGGCCGAGATCTTAGGGCCCCCTTCCCTGGGTGGGGTCACTGCACCAGGACAGCTGGTACTGAAAGGGGCCTCATGGGCAGGTGGCATGGCTGGGAGCCCTGTGGCCGCGTCAGCCTGGCAGTTGTGCTTGTCTGACCGCCTGTCTGGGCTCATGAGAACCCTGACCTTGAAGGGCAGTTATGGCCGTGACGTTCAGCACGTGAGTCCCCAGCGTCCCCTAGAATTGGGGGATCCCTGCAGCTTGCACAGGTGTGGGGCGGGTGGGGGCTGGATGCCACCAGCCTGCAATGGGGCTGCCCACTGGGCCTGTGGTGAAGATGCCCGCTTGCAGGCATGTGATGCTTGTGCGTGTGTGTGCGTGCATATGCATGTGTGTGTGCGCACATGTGTACCTGTGTGTGCACACATGTGTGCCTGTATACCTGTGTCTACGTGTGCCTGTGTGTGAATGTGTGTGTGCCTGTGTGCACGTGTGTGTGCCTGTGTGTGCATATGTCTGTGCCTGTGTGTGTGTGCGCGCCTGTGTGTGCACGTGTGTGTGCATGTGTGTGCGCCTGTGTGCACGTGTGTGTTCGTGTGTGTGTCTGTGTGCATGTGTGCCTGTGTGCATGTGTGTGCTTGTGTATGCATGTGTGCGTGTGTGTGCCTGCATGCACGTGCGTGCATGTGTGTGTGCCTGTGTGTGCATGTGTGCCTGTTGGGGTGTGTGTGTGTGCATGTGTGTGTGCCTGTGTGTGCATGTGTGCCTGTGTTTGCATGTGTGTGTGCCTTTGTGTGCATGTGTGTGCCTGTGTGCATGTGTGTGTGCATGCATGTGTGCACACGTGTGCCTGTGTGTGCATGTGTTGAATTTCCGGTGAAAACTCTGCATCCCAGAATTTATTGTCCCCATGATCTCAGGGCCACTCAGGGGTGTGTAGAAGGCCCTGGCCCCGAGCCCTGGTGGGGGCTCCATCGTGGCACCATGGGGTCTCCGGAGCCTGGGGGTCCCTCTCTCCCAATGCACTCGCTTGGTGGCAAATGGCTGGGAGCGGCATTTCTGTCCTGGCCGGGGAGCGCTTGAATGCGCTGAGCAATGGGGGAGATAAGCGTGTGAGGTGTTGTTCCGGGAGCAACCTGGTGATAGGAGCCGTGTCTCCGCCTGGCTGGAGAACAGGGCCTGAGGACTGGACAAGTGGGCGATTGTCCCGTCTCATGCCCATCGCTGGCCCTGCCCTCTACATCCATCTGTGTGGCCTGGCCCTGAACAGCGGTCACTCTGGGCCTGGTGTGGCTGTGAAGTGGGAGCACAGGGTGGGCCCCGGGTCCCAGCTTCCCGGCTGAACTGTGAGGGTGGGCGCTGTCTCCTAGACCCGAGGGGCTCCCTGGACAGGTGTGAGCAGACCTTCGCTCGGGCTTGAGGCCTTCGCCCCTGCAGGTGTCTCCAGGAGGCTTCCCTCACAGGAGGCTGAGGCCCTGGGTCTGCTGGGACTCGTATTCACGGAGGTGCTGGGATGGACCTGCTGGTGGCCCCCCGCCCCTCGGCCAGCCCCTTCCCCGCCTCTGCCCTGCTGGGCCCTGTGGTCAGGTGTGACGTCCCCTGGAGGAGAACAGGTGGGGCTTCACCCCCAGAGGCTTGGCAGCCGGTCCCCATCAGATCAAAGCACTGAAAGCTGTGGCTTTGGGGAGTGTTCGGGAAAGATTTCAAGCCCGGGAGTGGGCACGCGCCCAGGCTCGGATCCCTGCCATATCCCGTCCGAGGCGCGGGCCCAGTGCTGGCTGGCAGAGCTCAGCATGGCCAGCCAGTGCCCAGGTGCATGCCCGAGGGGGCGCGCCACGGCTTCCTGTTGATCCGGATGCCCGATGTCTTGGGAGGCACTGACCCTGTTGGCACAGGTCCTGGAGCCCACTGCTTGGGGAGGTGGTGGGAACCCCGAGACCCTGGGGACAGAGTGGCTGGATGCAAAGTCCCCCAAGGGGAAGGGGGATGGCAGGGAAGGGGCGTCAGGCCTTGGGGGAGGTCACCTGCCCCACCCTCCCTCCAAGGCCCTTGTGTGGCTGGGTGGGGCTGGCCCTGGGTCTTCTCCCTCTCCCCCGTCCCTGAGCGTCACTGGTGACCTCCCCGTGGGCTTGTCCAGTTTGCCAGTACCCTGTGGTTTCCTGCGGTTTTACCTCCTGAGCATGTTGAAACACTCCTAGTCCAGTTCCTGCCTGTAGCCACCCCCATCGAATCTGGCCTGCTGTGGCCCCCACCCTGCAGCCACGCGTGTGTGGTGCCCACTCATTGTCTCCAGCACCTCAGAGGAGGCCCTGCCTGGCTCCAACACTCCCTGACCTCTGGCCTCTATTCCCCTCCTTGGCCAACTCTGCTACTCCACCAGCCTTGCAGACCCCCCACCTCAGCTGCTGGAGTCCACCCTGCTGGAGGTAGAAACAGAGCCAGCTGCGTGCCACAGGTGAGGGCCTTCCCCAGGGCCTGGGGAGGGGCAGCATGACCCCGGGAGGGCAGCTGCAAGGGCCGGGCAGTGCAGCTCACCCGGGCGACCACCAGCCCACCCTCCTCAGTGAGACCCCACAGCCCCTGTCCAGTGATGTTCGAGGGCCAGGGCTCCCCGGGCATCCACCTGTCTGCACTTTCAGACTTGACTGCTTGGTGCCTGGGCTGGGATCTGGGGGCACTGCCCCTCCCCGTATCCCTGGGACCCCCTTCAGGAGCCGGACACTCGGGTGCACACAGCTCCCACCCCCAGCCCAGCCCCAGCCCTGTGCTGTCCGCTGCCCACAGTCCACTGTGTGGCTTCGAGTGGACCAAAGGTCTTGTCTGGCTGCAGGAGGGGCCCTGGTAGTTGCTGGGCCTGGAGGTCGCTAGGATGCTGGGCCTGGAGGTGGCTGGGATGCTGGCCTGGCCCCCACGTCCAGGGCGGGTTGAGGAGTGGCCAGCAGGAGCCACTGCCTGAGGCTGGGCTCAGCCCAGGCCAGTAGACTCACGTTCCAGAAAGGGCTGGGGAACTTGCCACCTGCCCTCCTCCAGAGACGGGCCCTTGTCCTTTTTGTCTACTTATGCCTCGTGCAGGAAGCAGGTCAGGGTGGGCCGGGGCCCTCAGGAGCAGACGCGTTTCAGCTGGGGGCGGGGGCAGGATACGGGCTGCTGGGGCCATTGAGGCAGCACCACAGGAGGGGTCCTGGCCAGGCCACCCCTCCCTCCAGGTGGGAGCTTAGCTGGGGCGGGACCCCCACCTCCCTGGGTGAGCACTGCCGGCCGGTAGCCTTGGGCAGGCACCCAGGAGAGGCCCCTGGCCTGAGCTCCTCTCACACCTGACTTGCGTACCTCTAAGCCCCGGGGTAGGTCCACCTGGCACCCCAAATGCCTTCTCCCCTTTTCCCATCCCATGGGAGGTGGCTGTGTGCCACAGGTGAGGGTACAGAGCCCCCAGCTGCTCCCTGGGAGGAGCAGGGCCTGTCAGACCCGCCCCGAGAGTTTCACCCCCTGCCGTGGGGCCCTGAGCAGGCCCTCGCGGGACAGGGCCTTCCGTGCCGGGGTGACTGTGCCCCACCAGCCCCGAGGGGAAGACCAGGATCCTGAGGGCTGGGCTGCACCTCCGACGTCCTGGGGCAGATGTCCATGCATTGCCAACTCCAGGCCTGAACCCAAGGCACCCTCATCTGAGCACCCACAGGGAGAGGCTGCCAGGACGGCTGGGTGTCCAGCCGACTGCCCCGCCCGGGCTCTGGAGCTGATAACCAGCGGATGAGGAGTGAAATGCAAACAGATAAGGTTGTTGGGAACTGGGCGCCCTGGGCTGCTCTGGGCTGGCAGCCGTGAGGCACTGCCCGGGGCCAGGGCTTATCAGGCACCTTTTGCCTTCAGTGAGCGTGGCTGGACGGGGAGTTAGCGGGGGCTTGCTCTCCGGGGGTGGCTGGTGAGGGGGCTTTGAGGAGGGTGGGGGGACCTTGGACTGCTGACTCTGGGACTCTAGAGGCTGCTGGTCAAGCTGGCGCTCAGGCTCATGAGACCACCTCTTTCCCAGGAATCCTCATCCCTCTCATGGGGGTGACATTTACGGGGTGCCTTTGGGGAGCCCAGCAGGGCCCCAAAAGCAGAAGTCAAATGGCCTGTGAGGGCAGGTGCCGCTCACAGCAAGGGGGCCCTGGGCAGCCCAGGGCGAGACCAAGGGCTTCCAGGGCCCCCAGGTGAGGAGCAGGACTGGGTGGGGGGTGGGGCCAGGTCATCAGGAGGTGTCGGAGACCAGGCTGGAAGGTGTCCTGGCCTAGAGTGAGCTGGGAGCGGTCGGTACACTGAGGACCAGAGCTGGGGGTGGGGAAGGGACCCTGAGCCAGCCTTGGGGGCGGTGGTGCTGTGTGCTGGTGCAGAGTCTGGGCAGGTGCCCCAGCAGAGGTGCCTTTGCCAGCAATGGCGTTGGGGCCACAGATCCTGCGGAGAATTTGAAGAATTTGTTTTTTCCCCAGAAAAGCTCCAGGTGTTGCAGCCAGACCCGAGTCTCTCTCAGGAATCACGTCCAGGGCCCTTCCCAGGCAGTGGGACATGCAGTGGGGGCAGCTACTGAGGCCCAGGCAAGCAGGGGTGATGGGGCAGGTCCCGGTCCAGAGGGTCCTGGGGGATGCTGGCATGGCTGGCGTGGCCTGCGGAGAGCCAAGGAGCCCCCAGGCTCACAACAGCTGGCTCTTCGGGTGTTGTTCGGGGGAAACACAGTGGAGGCCAGAAGGGAACAGGTGGGTTTCCCAGCCACTCACACCAGGTGCCGGCCCAGGGGAACTTTGGGTCTGATCTGCTGCCCTGTGGCCGTGAGTGCTGTGTGGCCCATGGGGGGCCCGTGCACATGGCCCGCAGGGTCAGGAGTCGGGGGCCCAGAACACACAGGCCTGGCAGAAGCCCAGGTGGCACAGACGTGGCCCTACAGCCGGGCTCGGGGCTCGGGAAGCCAGAGGCTGAGGCCCTCCCAGCTGGTGTCAGGGCTGATCGGGGCTGAGACCGGTCATCAGAGCAGCCCATGTCCACCGTCCACTGTCTCAGCAGCTCCCCGGGGGTCCCCCAAAGCCCAACCCTCCCCCAGATGGAAGCACAAGCAGGGCGGCCGAGGAGCACCCCGCAGCTTACCCAGGAGCCTGGCTCAAGACTGGTGGCCAAGTGCACCCTTCCTATAGTGGGCAGCTGCCTCCAGTCCGGACGCCACCGACTCTTGGGGGCATGGCCAGTGCCCGAGGCGGATGTGTGCACACACATGCTCCCAGGAGCTGTTTGTAACAACCCCAAACCGGAAATGACCCAGGTGTCCATCGGTGGTGAACACAGCGTGGCCCGTTCGTCTGCTCATCCTGTTTCAGCAATTACAAACAAAGCAGTAGAACATGCACGTCTGTGTCTCAGAGGAGCCTGTGCTGCCACTTCTCCCAGTGTGAACTGCTGGATCACGTGGTTGGCATCTGAATTTTTCAGAAACTGCCAAACTGTTTAACGGGACGGCTGTGCCGTTGTGCCTCCCACCTGTGATACGCGTTCCAGCCCCTCTTCACCCTCCTGTATGCTTGGCGTAGTCCGTTTTTAAAATGTTAGCCATGCTAACAGGCGGGCAGTGCTATCTGACTGTGGTTTTAATTTGAATTTTCCTAACGACTCATGACATTGAGCATCTTTTTATGTGTTTATTTGCCATCCGCGTATCTTATTTGGTGGAGGGTCCGTTCTAACGTGTTGTCCATTTTAAAACTGGGTTGCTTCGGTGTTGAGAGTTCTTTCTATATTCTGCATTCGAGTCCTTCACTAAAAATATGTACTTGGCAAAGATTTTGCTCCCAGTCGGGGTTTGTCTGTCTTTTTATTCTCTTAATTGTGTCAGAAGATACTATTAACTGTCAAAACTTCTGTTCAAAAGATTGAAAGTTCGTTCTTTCCCTCACTCCCTCCTTCCTTTCTTGCTTTCTGGCTCTTTCTTTCTTTCTTTCTCTCTTTCTCTTTCTCTCTTTCTTTCTTTCGATGGAGGCTTGTGCTCTGTTGCCCAGGCTGGAGTGCAATGGTGCGATCTCGGCTCATGCAACCTCTGCCTCTCTGGTTCTGGCAATTCTCCTGCTTCAGCCTCTGGAGTAGCTGGGACCATAGGTGCGTGCCACCCCGCCTGGCTAATTTTTGTATTTTTAGTAGAGATGGGGTTTCACCATGATGGTCAGGCTGGTTTCAAGATCCTGACCTCAGGTGATCCACCCACCTCGGCCTCCCAAATTGCTGGGATTACAGGCATGAGCCACCTAGACTGGCCAAAGTTCTTAATTTTGACAAAGTCCAATGTATTATATTTTACTTGACTCATCGTGCTTCTAGTGTTGTATGTAAGAAATCTTTGCTTAATCCAAGGTCATGATTTTATCATTATGAAATGACCTTTATTGCCGGTTCCTTGCTCTAAAGTCTACCTTAGTGTTAATATTGCCACTTGATCTTTCTTTCTGGGTTAGCCTGGTTTGTTTTTTTCTATTCCTTTACTTTCAATAACTGATGTGTGTCTTTTCCTTACAGTGAGATTCTCTGGGCAGCTTATAGGATGATCTTGCTTTTTATTCTAGTCTGACAATCCACATCTTTTTATTGGGGGTGTTTAGACAATTACATTTAATGTAATTATTGATGTGGGCAGGTTAAAATCTACCACCTTGCTACTTGTTTTCTGTGTCTTCCATTTGTTCTTCGTCTTTCTTTTCTACCTTCTCTTGGATTGACTATTTTTCCACAGTTCAATTTTATCTCCTTTGTTTGCTTGTCTGCCATAACTTTTTATTATTTTAGTAGTTTTCTTAGAGTTTATAGTACGCCTACAACTTACTATAGTCTACCTTCTAAAGATATTACCACATTCCACATATAGAATAAGAACCTTCCAGGCCGGGCGCGGTGGCTCACGCCTGTAATCCCAGCACTTTGGGAGGCCGAGGCGGGTGGATCACAAGGTCAGGAATTCGAGACCAGCCTGGTCAACATGGTGAAACCCTGTCTCTACTAAAAATACAAAAATTAGCTGCGCGTGGTGGCGGGTGCCTGTAGTCCCAGCTACTCGGGAGGCTGAGGCAGGAGAATCGCTTGAACCTGGGAGGCGGAGGCTGCGGTGAGACAAGATTGCATCATTGCACTCCAGCCTGGGCAACAGAGTGAGACTCTGTCTCAAAAAGAAAAAAAAAAAAAAAAAAGTGCCTCACAGTTCCCTCCTCCTGGGTTGTGCAATTCTTGTCACACATTTTACTTCTACACACGATTCATACCACATTACATTGTTGGTATTTTTGTTTAATTAGTTATTTTAAAAAGAGGTTTAAATAGTAAAAAACTTCTATATTTACCCATAAAATTACTGTTTCAAATGCATATTCTATCATGTGGTCCGTCCGTCCTTCCTTCCTTCCTTCCTTCCTTCCTTCCTTCCTTCCTTCCTTCCTCCCTCCCTCCCTCCCTCCCTCCTTCCTTCTTTCCTTCCTTTGTTTTTCGAGATGGAGTCTTGCTCTGTCACCCAGGCTAGAGTTTTGTGGTGCGATCTCGGCTCCCTGCAACCTCCACCTCCTGGGTTCAAGTGATTTTCCTGCCTCAGCCTCCTGAGTAGCTGCAGCTGCAACCTCAGGCACACCCGCCACCACACCTGGCTAATTTTTGTGTTTTTAGTAGAGATGGGGGTTTACTATATTGGTCAGCCTGGTCTTGAACTCCTGACCTCAAGTGATCTGCCTGCCTCTGCCTCCCAAAGTGCTGGGATGACAGGCATGAGCCACCGAGCCATATTTCTATCTGGCATCCTTTTCTGCCTGCCTGAAGGGCTTTCTTTATTTCTTAACGTACAGTGCAATTGTTATTTGTCTGAAAATGTCTTCATTTTGCCTTTGTTTTTGAAAGATGTTTTTCTAGGATGATAGCTTCTTCCGTTTGTACTGCAAAGGTGCTACTCTAGTTTTCTTACTGGCACGAGTTCCCAAAAAAACCCCAAATCTGTTGTTATTTTAATATGTTTCCTCTTTGTGACACACCCCCACCCTACAACTTAAGATTTTCTCTTTAATACTGATTCTGTTTGACTAGGATGTACTTTGGGCTCATTGAGCTTCTTGTATCTCTGCGTTTTAGTTTTCATTATTATTATTATTTTTTTGAGACAGAGTCTCGCTCTGTTGCCCAGGCTGGAGTGCAATGGTGCAATCTCGGCTCACTGTAACCTCAAACTCCGGGGCTCAAGCGGCCTCTCCATCTCAGCCTCCCGAGTAGCTGGGACTACAGGCGCCCGCTACCACGCCCTGCTAATTTTTGTATTTTCAGTAGAGATGGGGTTTCACCAGATTGGCCAGGCTGGTTTTAAGCTCCTGACCTCAAGTGATCCACCACTTCAGCCTCCCAAAGTGCTGGGATTGCAGGTGTGAGCCACTGCGCCCAGCCAAGTTTTCAGCGACGTTGAACCAAATTTTGGCCATAGGCCGGGCGCGGTGGCTCAAGCCTGTAATCCCAGCACTTTGGGAGGCCAAGACGGGCGGATCACGAGGTCAGGAGATCAAGACCATCCTGGCTAAACGGTGAACCCCGTCTCTACTAAAAAAATACAAAAAACTAGCTGGGCGAGGTGGCGGGCGCCTGTTAGTCCCAGCTACTCGGGAGGCTGAGGCAGGAGAATGGCATAAACCCGGGAGGCGGAGCTTGCAGTGAGCTGAGATCCGGCCACTGCACTCCAGCCTGGGCGACAGAGCGAGACTCCGTCTCAAAAAAAAAAAAAAAAACGCCTGGGCGCGGTGGCTCAAGCCTGGTAATCCCAGCACTTTGGGAGGCCGAGACGGGCGGATCACGAGCTCAGGAGATCGAGACCATCCTGGCTAACACGGTGAAACCCCGTCTCCACTAAAAAAATACAAAAAACTAGCCGGGCCGATCGGTGGCGGGCGCCTGTAGTCCCAGCTACTCGAGGAGGCCTGAGCGCCAGGAGAAGCGGGGAACCCGGGACGGCGGAGCTTTGCAGTGAGGCTGAACGCAATTGCGGCCACTTGCACTCCAGCCTGGGCTACAGAGCGACGGACTCCGCCAAAGAAAAAAAAAACAAAAAATTTGGCATGATTTCTTCAAGCTTTTCCCTCTCCTCTCTTCCTTCGTGGGCTCCGTTTACAGATGTGTCAGACTGCGCGAAGCTTTTCCACCTACTGCTCACTAAGGAGCTGTTTATTTTTTGGATTCTTTTGTCTTTCTGTGTCTCTATGATGTCTTTGAGTTCACCACCCTCCTCTTCTGCGGTGTCCCACCTGCTGTTAATCCTGTCCAGTGTGTTTCATATCATATGTAGTCATTTTCATCTTTAGATGTTTAATTTGGATCCTTTTTATATGTTTCATGCTTGTTACTAAATCCGTTCAGTTTTTAGCATAGCATTTTGATGACATGGAATACTGTCATACTGCCTGTTTTAACGTCTTCGTCGGCTAATTCCAACATCCATGTTGGTTTTGTGGTTTGGATTTAGTGGAATTTTCTCCTGGTTATGGGTGGAGTTATCGCCTTTCTTTACCTGCCTGGTACTATTTGAATGGTTGTCGGACTTTGTGAATTTTACCTTGTGGGCTGCTGGAGGCTTTTGTGTCTTGGAGCTTTGTTCTGGGACGTAATTAAGGGATTGGAGAGGGGTCTCCTGGGCCTTTTGTGACTTGTAGGTGGCATCAAAGCAGTGCCGAGTCCAGGGCAAACTACTCCTCACCATTGAGGCAAGACCCTGAGGGACAGAGACTCTGCCCACTGCACCGTGAACTTTGAGTGGCGAGGGTTCTCGGCGGCGCTGGCGGGAGACGTGCTTTTCCCGGCGTGTGTGAGCGCCGCTGCTCTCGGGTGGTTGCTCGTCAGCCTTAGTCTCCTCCTAGGCACGTGCTGAGCGGGTTCTCTGCCAAACACTCAAGATGGACTTTCTGCAAGTCTCTATGCTTTGCTCTGGGCAGCTCTCTCCTTGCCAGTGTCCTGTGCACTCCAGCGGCCGTGGGCTCCGTGGCCTCTCAGCTGAGCTCTTCCTGAGTTCCCCTTCCTGGCCCCTTGTCCTGGAAACCCTCGCGGCGGTGACCTGGGCAGTTTTAGGGCTCCCCTTGTGTGTTTCCTGTCTGCCACGGACTGTACGTTTGTGTCTTCCTCACCCTCCAGTTCCTATGTTGAAATCCTAGTGCCCAAGGTGATGATATTAGGAGGTGGGGACTTGAGGAGGTGGCAGAGCCCTCAAGAATGAGGTTAGTGTCCTTACAAAAGAGATCCCAGAGGCCAGGGGTGGTGGCTCACGCCTGTAATCCCAGCACTTTGGGAGGCCAAGGCAGTTGGATCACCTGAGGTCAGGAGTTTGAGACCAGCCTGGCCAGCATGGTGAAACCCTGTCTCTACTAAATATACGAAAATTAGCTGGGCATGGTGGTGGGCACCTGTAATCCCAGCTACTCAGGAGGCTGAGGCAGGAGAATCACTTGAACCTGGGAAGTGGAGCTTGCAGTGAGCCGAGATCGCACCGTTGCACACTCCAGCCTGGGCAACAGAGCGAGACTCCTGTCTCAAAAAAAAAAAAAAAGACCTCAGAGAACTCTCCTACCCCTTCTACTAGAGGGGAGGGGGACCCAGCGAGAAGGTGCCGTCCATGAACCAGGGAGTGACCTCACCGGACATCGAATCTGCCAGAGCGTCGACCTTGAACGTCCCGTCCTCCGCAGCTGTGGAGATGCGTGTCTGTTGCTTTTACGCCACTCAGGCCGTGGCGTTTCCGGGTAGCAGCCAGGTTGGAGGGAGCCGCTGTCTCTCTTCGTCGCCTGATGTCCAGCGTCTTGACAGCTGTTGTTTCCCATGTTTCCTGGAGTCTTTCAGTTGCTAAATCCGGCCTCTGCTACTCTCTTTGCTAAACATGCTAGTCCTTGATGAAATGGAATCTTGATACTTTAATACAGAGTGGAGCATAGTCACTAAATAAAACCTGGAAAAATGTAGAAGAGTAGCGGGCAGCGAACACACCGCAGCCGCGCGGTCCACCCAGCTGCAGCCCCCAGCGCCGCCTCCTGGCCCTGGTTTCCCTGCCCGTGGGGCTGGGCAGCATTGCTGCAACTCTTGAATTGCTTTCCTGGGGCCACCGTGATCAAGTAGCACAAACCGGGCAATGGCTCAGGTTCTCTCTGCGTCCCGGGAGCTTGAGATCCAGGAGTGGGTGGGACGGAGAATGGTTCTCCCTGGGTCACTCTGGAGGACCTCTTAAGGTGGACCTCTTAAGGGAGCCCTGGCTCCCACCTTGCCAAAGAGCGTCTGAGCCACACCTGTCTCCCCCAGGCCTCCAGTGGGTGCCCACGTGCAGCCCCCGCCATGGGGTCACCCTGGGGTAAGGATCTCTCCTCCCCTGCTCACCTTCTGCTGGGGCTTGGCATCCCTGGGATGAAGGTGGCACCCTTGTGGCCTGGGCCTTGCCGGCCCACATCAGCCCCCAGCCCTCTGCTCCTTGGCCTCACCCGCAGTCTGCAGAAGGTAGGTGAGTTTCCTGGTGATAATATAATAATAGCAATGATGATCATGATGATTATGGCAATAACAATTATGACAGTCAACACTGCCACGTGCCGGGCTCTGGCCCTTTGCATGTCTGGGCCAGCTGTGCAAGGTACTGCTGGGGCTCCCAGGCTGGGAGTCAGGGACAGGCACTGCCACAGCACCCAAGGGGCCCCCGTGCCACCCCAGCGCCTGCTGACCCTGAACCAGCTGCTCCGTGAGAGCTTTTTGCCGACTCTTCCGCTTGGCAGCATTTTAATCTGATGCAAGAGCCTTGTCGCTTCCTCAAAGCCTGTGTCTATGGCCGTGGGCAGCTGCCCGTCCCCGTGTAGGCAGAGCGGCGTCATGCCCTGTGGCCGCAGGTCCGGCTCTGGGGTTCTGGCTGGATGGGGCCTGGAACCTTCTGGGAGTCACCACTGACTGGCTGCAGCCACCGGCTCCCCAGCAAGGACGTCCCTTCTGCAGGAAAATGGGGACGTCTGGAGCATTCTCTGGACAGCAGGAGATGCACGTCAGCAGGCTGGCCCCGCCTCTTCCCTACCTGGAGTGGTGAGTGGGGATTCTGGGGACTTTCCCGGCCCCCATGGGCCTCGTGTGTCCTGGTGCCCATGTGTCCCCAGTCCCAGGGCCAGCCACGGTGTAGACCCCTCCACTTTCCTCCAGGCCTGAGGGGGGACCCAGGTGGCCTATGAAAGAAGAGCTCAGCCTGGACCCTCCCCCTGGGGGAAGAAGGCCACCAGGCCCCGTGCCTTCCTGCTGCCTGCCAGGGTGAATCTCAGGGGACCCCGGTGCAGGAGGGGTTGGCTCCGAGCTGGACAGGCCTCTGGGGTTGCCCTGGTGGCCTTCCCTGTTGCTGGGTCAGAGGTACCCAGGCAGGGAGGGTCCAGGCCCTGACAGAGCCTGAGGCATCCCCAGTCAATCCTGGCAGCAAAGGGCTCCTGGTGTGTGGCTGGCGGGACGCTTCTGCCATCACCGGATTTACTGCAGGTGGAGACGTCTTCTGTGCCCACACAGATGCGGAAACAGGCACAGAGACGGGGCGGCCTGCCCAAGGTCACCAGGGAGGGAGTGGAGGGGCTGGATGCCCTTGGGCCCAGACTGCAGCCTCCCCTCCCCGATGTGCTGCGGCCCCCAGTGTCCTGGGCCCCACATGGTGCCTGAGCCTACAGGTGTCAACAAAGGCCCGAGGTGCGGGGACAAAGGCGGGACAGGCCCGAGGTGTGGGGACAAAGGCAGGGACAGGCCCGAGGTGTGGGGACAAAGGTGGGACAGGCCCGAGGTGTGGGGACAAAGGTGGGACAGGCCCGAGGTGTGGGGACAAAGGCGGGGACAAAGGCGGGGACAGGCCCGAGGTGTGGGGACAAAGGCAGGGACAGGCCCGAGGTGTGGGGACAAAGGCGGGACAGGCCCGAGGTGTGGGGACAAAGGCGGGACAGGCCCGAGGTGTGGGGACAAAGGCGGGACAGGCCCGAGGTGTGGGGACAAAGGTGGGGACAGGCCTGAGGTGTAAAGGCGGGACAGGCCCGAGGTGTGGGGACAAAGGCGGGACAGGCCCGAGGTGTGGGGACAAAGGCGGGACAGGCCCGAGGTGTGGGGACAAAGGTGGGGACAGGCCTGAGGTGTGGGGACAGGCCCGAGGTGTGGGGACAAAGGCGGGGACAGGCCCGAGGTGTGGGGACAAAGGCGGGGACAGGCAACCCCTGCAGTTCGAGAGGGGTAGGAGGCCACAGGTCAGTCCCCGGGAGGGCCAGGCAGGAAGTGGGCCCAGCGGGGCTGAGAAATGAGGGGCCGGTGCCCCTACACTCACTGCAGGGGATGTGAGAGGGCGAGTGGTTGCTCAGTCACGCCCACACCCGTGAGTACAGGACCCATGCCCGCCCGCCTTGCCCGCCCACCTCGCTGTCGTGCCTGTTCATGGCTCACACTTGGGCTCGCACAGCTTCTCCCATTATTCAGGTGCTGCCGGGCCCTGCAGGGTTCAGATCGTCCCTGTGCTGCTTGGCGGGGTCACCCTCACACCTGCCCTGGCGGCCCCACCTGCCCAGCTTCTCTCAGTGCTGTCTGTCCCGGAGCCTCCCATCAATGGGACCAGAGTGCTCGTTCCTGGCTGCGGCTGCCTGTGCTCCACAAGATGCCTGAGAGCCACCCAGGCACCGGACTTGCCAACACGCAGGCACACACCTGGGCCGCATGGCCCTGAGCACACACCTTGCCCAACCCTCCTCCGGGCCGCAGTGCGGGCGCCAGGTGCCACCTGCTGGCGAACTGCAGCATCACGGCTCTCACCCTCCGGAACCTTCCACAGCGCCACACCAGCCTCTGGTCTGGCTGCAGATGGCTTGGGCTGGGCAGGGAAGCATCCGCTGTCAGGGAGCCTGGGACCACAGACTTTGCTCCAAGCGCCCGGGGCGGGTAGGGGCCAGGTCCAGTCTGAGGAGTCCTGCCTCCCTGAGGTAGACAGAGCTGGGCAGACGTGGAGGAGACATGGGGGCTGCAGCCCTGGCCCCACTGCCCAACTCTCCCTCTGCATTTCGGGAGCCGGCAAGATCCAAGGGGGTCCCCAAGGCCCTGAGGCTGTACCGAGCACCCCTTTCCTGCTCGTTTTCAGACGCAGCGATGCCCTAGACACCCGGGGAGAGGTGACCCCCAGCAGGAAGCTGGGCCTGGTTTCTGTCCCTCCACAGCCACAAGGCCTGGCCAGGACGCCGGGAGCACCACACCCTGGAGACTCAGCTCACCGAGGACTCGGGCGGGGGCTTCCCCGGCGCCTGGGAAGCTGGGTTCCCCACCCCCTGGACTTCCACCCCGACATCATCTCAAGCCAGGTCTGCCTGCATCTCCTCATCACTGCCCTGGGTCCTCCGTCGCAGCTGCTGTGTCCCAGGCCCCACAGCCGCTGCCCTTGGCCCACCTTCTATGTGGCCCATTAGAGGGGTGTGGGGGCTGCAACCTGCTTCTGCTGAACCCCCGGGCCTGCCAGGGGGCATCAGGATTCTGCACAGAGAGGCAGGGGTCCTGGCCAGACGTGCAGGTCCCCAGGTACCTAATTCAGGGCCTTGGGCCGAGGACTGCGTATTATCCTGGCCCAGGCGACTCTGGGGGTGTCTGAGGGGTGGTGAGACTTCTAGGCAGATTGTCCCTGCCCCACTCTGCTCTGCCCCACCCTGGCTGGCCCTCCTGGCTTCTCAAGGTGCTCCTGGCCACGATGGCACAGTCCCCCAGGCCCAAAATGTGCCCCTATGCTGCCTGAGTGCCGGTGCGGGGGCTGGTAGCACCCAAGGCCACGCCCTCCCCTCCCCGTCCTGGGACACCTGCACCCACGTTGTGGCCACAGCTCCCTGGCTCCACCAGCTTCTCGTGACCCCTGAGGCTCCCCAGCCCCTGGCCCGCCATGGAGGGTTCCCTCCCCACCCCTGTGCCCACTCCTTGGGAGACTGGCATTAGATCTTGGCTGTGGGACAGGGTGGGCCATTCTGGGGGTGAGACCAGGCCTCTCCCACCTGGGACCCATCGTGGCTCTGGCCCTGGGCGGGTGACAGCCTGGCTTTCCTGTGTCCTCACCGCCTGCTCTTCAGCAAGAGAGGGATGTGGATGACAGGACTGCTGGCCACAGAGGGCCTGGTGTGGGCAGCCGTCAGGACGAGGGTAGTGTGGGCGGCCACAGCAGTTGGTGCTACTGCTGGAAGGGGCCGAAGGTGAGGCCCTTCTGGGCTGTGAGTCCCTGCAAGCCACTGCCCCCATGGGGTTGCAGTCACGGAGCTGACCCGCTGCCGGGTTTCTGCCCCCTCCCTGTCCCTGCTGCTCCCCCGGCAACTGTATCCCAAGCCTGATGCCCTGTCGGAGGTGGCACCTCCCTGGGCACGGGCACTTGGACGCTGGTGCCTCCCCTGCTGCAGACCCCTTTGCTGTGGTCAGGGCCTCCTCCCTGCCCTGGCACCTGTGACCACAGGCCTGGTGGGGCCCTTGATGGCCACAGAGGGCACAGGCTGGGGCCAGGAGGGCACCGTCTCCTGGGGCACAGAGATGCTGGAGTGAGTCATGGAATCGTCCATCAGCAGCAGCAAGCTTTGCTGAGCACCAGCTGTATGCAGAGCACCAGCTGTATGCAGAGCACCGGCTGTATGCAGAGCAAAGGTGGGCCAGCTGGGAAGGGCCAGGGAGGACCCGGGGTTCCCAGTGTCCCCAGGAGCCTGCACCCCTACCTGGGGGATGCCTGGGCAGCTCCTCCCTCCTTTACTTCCTGCCCTCTCCTCGCCTCCCCTCTTTCCTGCAGTTCCCACAGCTGTCTGGGGGCCTCCCCTGGTGCCTGGTTGAGCTGCAGGGGGAGATATGTGTGGACACTGCAACCCTCCCGAAGCTGGGCCTGGAAGAAGTGACTTCCCCAGAACCTTATCTGGGCCACAGAAGGGGGTTGGAAGCGGGGGTCTTGCCGCCCTCCCGTCCTCTGCATGCCAGGCGTGACCTGGGGCAGGGCCAGGGCAGGCTGCCTGGACACCATGGACCTGCCCGGCTGTAGGGGAGATGTGTCCTGCAACCCCACCCATGGTTCAGGCCTGTGTGGCTGAGTGGACTGAGGACAGCTGACCCCCTTGGTGACTGCCTGGGCCCAGAGGGGAGTGGTCAGCTGGGTGTGGCCAGCCCTGGGGGAAGGATCCAGGGACTGCATCCACTTAGGGATAGGAGGCAGCTAGCAGAGCCCTCCCAGCTGACCAGGGGAGGCCCTGTGGTCATAGGAGGGGCCTCAGGTGCAGGTGCAGGTGCAGGGCTGGGCGGCCCTGTGTTGCCCAGGTGGTGTGTCTTGCCCTGTTTGATGACTGACAAAGTGCCCTTGAATGTGTCAGACCCAGCGTGGCCCCAGGGTGGGTCCTAACCTAACGTTTCACCCCAAATTACCCTCACCCCAGCCTATCCCTGCCCTAAATTCACCCCAAGCCCCCACTCAAACTCCTTGACCCCAACACTTTAACCCTAGACCCAGCCCTACACCCCAAGCCCTAATCCCTAACCGCTAGCCTCACCCTAACCTCCCTACCGGATGCCACCTGGTAAACATCCTCCTGGCCGCTATCCACCCCTCCCCCGGGGCTCCAGGAGGCAGCGGGGTCCCTGGGAGGCTGCTCCCTGCAGAACACGATGGACAGACGCCTGGGCACCGGGCCCCAGCCCCCTCTGGCTTCATTCATCCTCCACAGGCACTTCCCCCTGGGCCAGAGGGCAGCCTGGCAGCCCTGGACTCCGGGAGGGCCGAGTCTGGGGAGCTGGAGGACGTCATCTTCCACTCTTGATGCCGCCGCCCCAGGCCTACAGTCTGGACAGCGGGACAAGCTGCCCATTTCCTCCATCTCCAGTAATGAGAAGCAAATGCTGATCCTGGCCCGTCTCCTGGCTCCCGGGTCCCTGGGTTCCCGCTGCCCCTGCCAGTTCCCGGAAGATGCCAGCAGGAGGGAGGGCGGTGGAGCTGGACTTGTGCCCACAACAGGATCTGGCCATAAACGCGGTCAGGGCGAGGCTGCGGGGTGGGCCGCTGAACCTCCTTGTGGACTTTCTTCCCCGCCCTGGCCCGCAGCTGTCAGCCCTTCCTGGGAACTGCAGCCTTTGTTTGTTCCTTGAAGGAGCTGGTGCATTGCCTGCGAGCTCCTCTGCAGGCCTGGGGGTCCGCCTGCTGTCCACCCCCCGAAACCAGCTCCATCCAGCAGCAGGCTGCAAGCCTGGAGAGGCCTCCAGGGGCCAGGTAGGGAAACTGAGGCCCCAAAAAGGCAGGGAACAGGTGCAGGGGGCCTGTTTGACCTGCGCTGGGACTGGGCTAGGCGAGTCGCCTCCAGGGCCCAGCCCCATCTTGGACAGAGGAAGTTGATAGTCAGGAAAGGCAGGAGTGGCCTCTTCTAACAATTTCAGCTCTGCAGGGGCCGAGGGTGGCGATGCTGACAGCATTTCCTCCAGCTCCCACCTGCCTGCTCCAGGGAATTCCCCACCCAGGCATTGATACTCACCTGGTGATACTAATAATTGTCTCAGGTGACAGACTGTCTCAGCTGCTCTCCCACATGGCCCACGGGTCCCTGGAGGTTCCCCGGATTCTTTCAGGGGAGACCATGGGCCCTAAACGATCTTCATAACAAAACTGAGAAGTGGCCTGGCTTCTTCACAGCGCTCCTGTGTGCTCAGATCCAGCATGGCCCGACGGGGCAGCCCCTTTCCTTCCCTGATGCTGCTCTAGGGGGAGGAAGGGCCAGGGTCAATCTGGGGTGCTCCAGGTGGACAGCAAACGCCCCTGAAACCAGGTGCCAGTTGTGTCCCCCTGAGATGCCCCCACCCCAGTCTCCTGAGCCTCATTAGTCACCCCTCATTTTCCTTTGGGGACCCCAGGCCCTGGCTCCTGTCTGGTTAGAGGCTGAAGGGGTCTGAGCCACACCTGCCCTAGGGGACCTCCGGAGGGGTCTTGGTATCCTCTGACTTCTGTCTCCAGAAAGGAGCTCAGAATGCAGCTGGAGCTTCCCCCGGAGCCCAGGGTGTCCGTGTCCGAGCCACAGCCAGAGTGTGCCCTGGAGAGCCGCTGGGACACGGGTGAGCTCTCGTCATCCTGTCCCCACTCCAGGCTCAGGCTGGAGCCGTGATGGCACCACTGCACTCCAACCCGGGCAACAGAGTGAGACCCTGTCTCTATAAAATAAAAACACAAATAAAGAAGAGCATGTGGTTTCTGCAGTTTCCTGGACAAAAATGCATAGCCCCAATCTCAATCATAAGAAAACATCCAATGTCCCCAACAAGGGGACGTTCTACACACACCTGCCCAGCGCCCCTCAAAAGTGTCAAGGGCGTGAAAGACGTGGAGGGACGCAGAAGATGGGAGAGCCAGTGCGGCCTGTGGTGTGTTCACGATGGTCGCAGGTCAGCGCCCACGGTCGCTCAGCAGCCACGCCAGGCAGGCCCCAGGGGCCCAGGAGGAAGCTGGGATGTGGCAGGCTGGGGGTTGTGCACGGCCCCGCAGCACAAGTGCCCTGCTGACTCCAGGGTCAGCAACCCGCCCCATCATCGTGCCATTCCCCGGGGACGGGTCCTCGCCTGCCTCGCTCGCCCTCTACAGACAGGACAGGGACAGGTCGTCAGCTGTCACAGAGGCCCTCGCAGTTTTCTGAGTGTGGACTTGCTGTGCCTGCGCATGACTCCGTTCATGGACTTGACAGCACCCCACTGTCCATCACACCCCCACCAATGCCGCTTCCCGCACCAGCACTCATCCCATGCTCAGGTTAATAGAGCATGGGACGGCCCCTGAAGACCAGCTATGGCGCCGGCTGGGAGGCCCCACGAAAGGATGGGCGCAACCCCACAGAACGGACCATGCTCGCCATCCATGCCCGGTGCCGCTTCTCTGCGGCGATGGTATCCAGGAATCACGGGTGGGAGTCACGGCTACCGTCCCTGTGGCACCAACCGCCTGCTCACACAGCCACCGTTCACTCTAGCTTGGAGGTTCTGCTTCCTCAGGGAGGAGTGCTCCCACCAGGGTCGAGGTGCTGGCCGCGTGGAGTTCGACATCGGGACTGTCCCCGGGGGCCTCTCTTCCCACTGAATCGACAGAGAGAATGTGAGCTCGCTGTCCGGCGAGCGGGGCCAGGGATCCTGTCCGCCGAGGGGACGCCGGATCGCTGCGGAGAGAGGACCGGACCCAGGGTCCTGCCAAGACCAGAACTGAGACCGGGCAGCCAGCAGAGCCCGCACAATAAGAATGCTTCATTTTGCAAATGTATTTTGTTACTTTGTTCTTTTATTGTATATATTTATCATGTCCAACCTGACGTTTTGAAACGTGTTTACATGGTGGTTAAATCAAGTGGCGTAACACACATGACTTCACATACTTCCCGTTTTTTTGTGGTGAGAACACTCAAAATCTACTCACAATGATTTTCTTTCTTTTTTTTCTTTCTTACTGATTTTCAAGGATGACGCAATATGGTGTTATTAACTGTAGTCACCATGCTGTGCAGTACATCTCTTGAATTTATTCCTCTTGTCTAACGGATTTTTTTTTTTTTTTTTTGAAATGGAATTTCGCTCTGTAGCCAGGCTGGAGTGCAGTTGTGCGATCTTGGCTCACTGTAACCTCTGTCTCCCAGGTTCAATCAATTCTTGTGCCTCAGCCTCCTGAGTAGGTGGGATTACAGGTGCGCGCCATCACCCCTGGCTAATTTTTTTGTTTGTTTGTTTGAGCTGGAGTCTCGCTCTGTTGCCAGGCTGGAGTGCAGTGGTGCCATCTCGGCTCACTGCAACCTCTGCCTCCTGGGTTCAAGCAATTCTCCTGCCTCAGCCTCCTGAGTAGCTGGGATGACAGGCACCTGCCACTACGCCTAGCTAATTTTTGTATTTTTAGCTAATTTTGTATTTTAGAGATGGGGTTTCACCATGTTGGCCAGGATGATCTTGATCTGACCCCGTGATCTGACTGCCTCAGCATCCCAAAGTGCTGGGATTACAGGCATGAGCCACCGCGCCTGGCCTAATTTTGTATTTTTAGAGACGGGGTCTTATCATGTTGGCCAGGCTGGTCTCGAACTCCTAACCTCAGGTGATCCACTTGTCTCGGCCTCCCAAAGTGCTGGGATTACAGGCGTGAGCCACTGTTCCCGGTCTGTAACAGAAACTTTGTGCCCTTGGACCAACCCCTCCCCAGTTCCCAGCCCGTATATCCCCGGGTCCTCTCTCTGCTTCTGTGAGTTCAGCATTTCTAGGTTCCCCGTATGAGTGAGATCCCGCAGTGTGTATCTTTCTGGGCCTGGCCTCCTCCGTTCCGCATGAAGTCCTGCAGTTCCAGTGACACATTCCCTCTTCTGTGGAGGAGCAGTTCTCTGACGTGGACGCCCCTTCCCTGGCTGCCGGACGCTGAGGCTGGTTCCGTCTGGCCGTAGTGGACAGCGCTGCGGCGAACATGGGGTGCAGGCGTCCCTTCCGCATACTGATGCGGCCTCCACCTGTCGCACTCGGGAGTGGGACAGCCGGATTACGTGGTGGTTCTGTGCTTAGACTTCTGGGAACCTCCATGCTGTTTTCCATAACGACCATCGTCACAGACTTCTTACCACGAAATCATTTTAGACTTGTAGAATCCTTGTAAAACTAGTATAGAGAATGGCGATCTGTCATCTCCGCGCAGGGGAAAGGGAGCTGGGACGACCAGGCAGGAGGGAAGTTTGCTTTCACGATCTGTTCTTACCTATTCAGAAACAATGAAAGTAAAGGCCAAGGCAGTTGGGTCACTTGAGGCCAGGAGTTTGAGACCAGCCTGGCCAATGTGGTGAAACCCCATCTCTACTAAAAATACAAAAATTAGCCAGGTGTGGTGGGGCACACCTGTAATCCCAGTTACTCAGGAGGCTGAGGCACAAGAATCGCTTGAACCTGGGAGGTGGAAGTTGTAGTGAACTGAGATCGTGCCGCTGCACTCCAGCCTCGGTGACAGAGTGAGACTATCGCAAAAAAAAAAAGAAAAAAGAAAAAAGAAAAAAAGAAAAGAAAAACCAGAAAAAACACAAAAAATGCGGCATTGCACTCTAGCCTGTGTGACAGAGTGAGACTACATTGCAAAAAAAAAAAAAAAAAAAGAGGCCAGGCGCAGTGGTTCATGCCTGTAATCCCAGCACTTTAGGAGGCCGAGGCGGGTAGGTCATGAGATCAGGAGATCGAGACCATCCTGACTAACACGATGAAACCCCGTCTCTACTAAAAACACAAAAAATTAGCCAGGCGTGGTGGCAGGCACCTGTAGTCCCAGCTACTCGGGAGGCTGAGGCAGGAGAATGGCGTAAACCCGGGAGGTGGAGCTTGCAGTGAGCCGAGATTGCACCACTGACTCCAGCCTGGGCGACAGAGCAAGACTCCGTCTCAAAAACAAAAAAACAAAAAAACAAAAAAATCCAGAAAAAAAAATGCAAAAAAACCATTAAAATTAAAATAATTTTAAATTTTAAAATAATGTTTAGTAAAAAATAATGTTTAATGTTTAACATGAGAAATGCTTATATGGTAAAAAATAAGGAAAAAGGAGGATCATTTAAAAAAAGAGAAGAAAATAGAGTCAGAATTTATCTGATCTTTAGCGAAGAGCACTTTTCTAAGCATACATAGGAAGAAATAATAAAAAAAGAGAGGAATGTGTTACCTCCCTAAAAATGTGTGCGTAAGAACAAGGGTTTGATCCTCACTGAGGTGCTGACTCAAGTCCAGCAGGCCCCAGAGCCGGAGGCTGAGTGCGAGCCACGGAGGTGACCCATGGCAAGAGCAGCGCGGGGTCCGTCCCGCAGAGACAGAAATGTGGCCAAGGGGTGTGGGAGGACCATGAGGAGGTCATGCCGAGCATGCCGCAGGCGCCCACCCAGCAATCTGCCTTTTGAGGTGTGGTTCGGGGAGTTAGCAGGGCGCTAACCGCTGGCTGCTCCATTGGCTGCAACATAGACAGAAAAGGGGCCACATGAAACTGGAAATGCCAGACCTGCCTCGGTTTACTGTGGAGGACAGGACACAAAGGCCTAGGGAGATTGGAAGGTTAGGATGGGTTGTCACGTAAGACCTCCTCCCCCACACAGAAGGTCCAGAAGACAGACCTTTCCCCACACTGGGAACCAGATTAGTGAGGGGGATAGAGACACGGACAGACCCCCGGGCCGCTCTTCTCTGAGGGCCGCAGACCTCGCAGTGGGAGCCACAGCCCCTCAGCTGGAAAAGAGTCGCGATGGGAAGAATGGACCCGGGACGGCCGAGCGGAGGCTCTCAGCCGTCAGAGGCGAGCGGGATGCGGGCGCCGTGATGAGTAGCAGAGGCAGAACGACAGTCAGGCCAGGCTGACCTCTTAACCACGGCTCTCCTAGGAGGAAAACAGAAAGCCTGGGAAGATGGTACTGGATCTGCGGGAGGCCGAGGCGGGGGCATCACCTGAGACGGGGAGTTCAAGACCAGCCTGGGTAATATAGTGACAGCCCCATCTCTTTTTTTTTTTTTTTTGAGACGGAGTCTCGCTCTGTCGCCCGGGCTGGAGTGCAGTGGCCGGATCTCGGCTCACTGCAAGCTCCGCCTCCCGGGTTCACGCCATTCTCTTGCCTCAGCCTCCCGAGTAGCTGGGACTACAGGCGCCCGCCACCTCGCCCGGCTAGTTTTTTGTATTTTTTTAGTAGAGACGGGGTTTCACCATGTTAGCCAGGATGGTCTCGATCTCCTGACCTCGTGATCCGCCCGTCTCAGCCTCCCAAAGTGCTGGGATTACAGGCTTGAGCCACCGCGCCCGGCTAGCCCCATCTCTAAAAATGAAAAAATTAGCTGGGCATGGTGGTGCACACCTGTGGTCCCAGCTACTCTGGAGGCTGAGGCAGGAGGATCGCTTGAGCCCAGGAGTTCAAGGCTGCAGTGAGCCAAGATTGCATCACTGCACTCCTGCCTGGGCAACAGAGCAAGACCCTGCCTCACAATAAATGACTAAATAACTAAATAATAAATAATTATGTTCTCAGCAAATATTTAATTTCCCCAATATATTGTGGGGGAAAAGAAGCTATAAAACAATCTACAGTAATAACCAGGAGAACTTAGGAGCACCCGCGGGTGCCCATGCCCGGCAGAGATTCACGAACACCGTTCACCCCCATAACCAGCAAGGGTGCTGCCGTCCAGAACCCATCACAGACGAGCAACTGTC